TTGTGGTAATTTATTGCTGGCTTACTAGTGTGACAGGCTTCAAAAAAGCCTCTGTTTAAAGCTTTAGGGCATATGCATAAGACCTAGCACTGTGCATATTCCCAAACTTTCTGATGTACCAACATTCTTTTGAATCAAATGTCTTCTAAAACTACTGTTTCCACATAGAGTTCTGTGCATGCACAAGTAGACGAATAGATATAAATATGACTGTTACTTTGTCTCTTATACAAATTTTAATTTAATAAAACACCTTATCTTTCAAATGAGGAAGGCAACAGAATCTCCCGGGTTTCATCAAATACATTATGTTCATTGTTTTCTACGTTAGCTATTGCTCAACAGCCTCAGTCTTATAGTTTATTTATAATGAACCCACTCTGGTTATTCCATTTGTAATTATACTTCTTACGAGTTTGTCAATTCTCAAAAGACACTGAGAAGCACAGGATCTCTGCAGTGCTGCTGTAATCTTTCCAGCCAGGTGGGTCTTCTTTCTACAGGATTGTGTTGGTGCACATGCCACCTTTTTTGTGTTGCTTATCAGTGGAAGTTTTGTCTGGCCAGAGAAGGCAGGGGTCAGAGACCAAATTATCTAGATTGTCTCTGGAGCTTGAAAGTATTGCATAATGGTCTGAGACAATTGTATTATGTGTAATTATCTGCCTATGGATATACATATGCATTCTGTTGGAATCTTTTGAGTGTATACATTGGCTATATCTTTGGTGTAGCATCATGGACTTAACACTGGTCTATAGAAACCCTACTTGGAGACAGTTAAGGAAGGAAGATGATTTCACATGGGCTCAGGGAAATGTATGTGCTCTATCTATATGATGAATTTTCTGGTTTGAATAAAAATTATGTTGGTAGTACTTCCACAGTAACCTCCAGAAGGGATTACTAGGATTTGTTGCATCTGCCAGATCTACTTGAATTTCATTTAAGAAGTAAATCTTAAGCATATCCATAGTATTTATTTTGATATATCCTCAAGATTAACTTTACCAGTGCCCCCACTCCCCAAAAGATGAGTATTTTAGGGGGAGAAATCTATCTCTATGTCCCACCATTAAGAACAATTCAGTATGTGAATAGTTCGATATGGGAGAAGGATTTCTCTGCTGCAGCACCTCAATTGTGGAATCCCCTCCCCTTGGAGACTCGATTGGCACTGACATTGGCTTCATTTTGGCACCAAGTAAAGACATATTTATTAGAGTCTTTATGAGTTCAAGATTGTGGCCTGCATAGGTTTTAATGCAATGGTTTTAATGTTTTGATTTTGTGATTTAAACTGTTTGACCTTAAACTTGTTTGTTTGTTTGCTTATTTATTTATTCTGTTTGACCTTAAACTTGTATGCTTGTTTGCTTATTTATTTATTCATATACAGCCCATCTAACCAAAGTACACTTTGGTTTTTTAAAATAATTTTATACAGCTCTGTATAAAATTATCCACCACTGACATGGTATTCTCCCTCCGACAGCTGCAGGAGAAATGTAGGGGACAACAACAGCCACTCTTAGTGGCCTTCATAGACCTTACAAAAGCATTTGATCTGGTTAGCAGGGAT